TAATTCTCTTACATGTTGAGACCGCTGTTGCTATTAAAACTTTGCTCTGAGTGGATACTCAGCATAAGTATTTTATGTATCGGTTCTGTGATAACCCGTAAGATTATCGGAATTAAGAAGCGATTTCAAATAAAAATACAATTCGAATTGAATATTTACAAACTAAACTGGGTAATCAATAAAAATAACTATGCAATCGAAACTTTCAATGTTAAGTTGAGTTAATTCACTTCAATTTATCTTGTGAACGCCATCATTTACAAATCGACGGGGTCTATAAAAAAAAAAATTCAATAGCTAATTTTAGAGCAGAACATTAATTTAATAAATAACAAACAATCAAACCTAAGGGACGGCCGGTCGCGTTGCAACCGGTTATTGAGCTTAATTCGGTAGCCGGGGAGTGACGTCCGCAAACGTTTATTGATAATTAACAAAAATATGGTTTTCTGCGAACAGCCATCGCCGGAGGTCAAAAAACCTCAAGCATTGTAAACAAAAAAATTGTTCACTTTATTCAGTTGTGTGTTAAACGGTTCGTAGTTTTCCTATATCATTAGATAAACGATACGCGTTGCTTTTGTACAATTTTAATAACAATAATTGTATTTTTTTCAACGCCAAACTAACAACTATAGCGATTTCTACGGCTTTGGTTTCGTTAAAAGCGTCACCATTTCCATTGGGCAGCGTCGTTCCAGTTTGCTGAAATTCAGTTAAACGTTTCCCCGAATGACAAATGGATTACATGATACCGATCGGGTGTTACAATAATATCTTTATTGATATCTTTATTACGGTCATAAAGTATACCGCAAATATTATTCTATACAATTAATGCTGTTGAAGCGTTCTGCAGTGTTGGCAATCGACAATGCCATTCGCGTTTTGTGTTCATTGACACGATTTTTCGATGAACCTATTCGATTACAAAGAGAAACAAGTCACGACAGCACTTTTGCCTATCGCAGTGAGACTATTAAGTCGTTGAGGTTTTCCATGAAACCATTTCAATTGATTAACAAATATAAAAAAAGTGTACTGTAACGAACTATCGCAGATACGTTACTTTTTGTTTTTAGTACAACTACAATATAATTAAAATATCTCCAACGGTGTAATTACGAATATCAAAGGGAGTAATAGTCCCTTTGATATTCCTTTGATATTGGACAGCGTATTTAAAGGGGCACATATTAAAAATAAACTAAAATTTGTTTCTTCCATTCCTCCTATTATCCCAAAAGCAAAATAATTAATATGACCTGAACATTTCATCATAGTAACTACACGGAAAAAATGTAGTTAAAAAACCGTTTAAATGGTTATGCCGACCCAAAACTTAGGGTTAGTATTGTGACAGCCTATCTGCTTGGTCGAAACAACTAAAATGGCTCGGTTGATACATTATGCTTACCTTACCCAACTATAAATAGTAAGAATAACCATTTCATACAATAGTCGTCACTCTCATAGATAGTTCCAATTACAATGAGTTTTCAGATAATTTAACGGATTATTAAGGATTCAATATAACTTCTTAATTAATAACAGAAATAGTATAAACTTGGTACAGTATTCAAACATATTTCAAATGTCAAAATCAAAACAAATAAATATATCTGAAATGGATTGGTACATTAAGAAGAAGACATATATAAATGTATATCTGTACAAACAACAATATAATATAACAAACAGTCAAATATAATTCAATGAATGCATACTTGAAATATACAACTATAAGACTTTAAACGTATTACAATGAAAATCCGAGCACGCTAAGTAATTTTCCCAGAAAAGCGTTTTTTTCCTTGTTCTATTATATAATAAGATATAAAAAATTGTTATGTTATTTACAAAAAACCATTTTGATGATGGTAACAAAAAGTGGCATTGCTTTTGATAGTTCAAAAATTTTATATTATCTATCTTTTTATTAAACTAATGAGCTTCTGACAATAAACTTGAACAATTTTTTTTTTTGAGCTGGATACATCTTTATTTTTGATAATGAAAATGTACATAAACTGCGGACATATTCCAAATATGTCCGTAGTTTTCCTTTATCATCAATATTTTAATCACAATTTGAGTGTTTGTAAAATTACGAGCTTTCACATGAAATGTTAATTAAAAAAAAAAAAATTTCACTACCCCTTAATTATATTTATAGTATCATACTGTTTTGAAATCATTATGTAAAGTTTCTTATTATTTGTTATTTTTTGAAAATAATAAGAAAGTATATTCCACCTATAATGTTGTACTTTGAAATATTAGTGTAATATGGTCAAAACAGAGATTTACAACACAGATTCGTTTTGAATAATTTCTAGTATTTTATAAAAAAAATTATTCAGTAATTGATTTATAATTATGGGACTTTTTCTAAGATAAAGTAACTTTAATTATTTTAAAATCATTCTAAGAAGTATTAATTATAAATATATTTTTAATTATATTATCGTACCAAATTTTGATATAAATCTATTTCAGATTGGAAAAATATAAATTATTACCACTTATATCACATTTAGTATGTACATACTAAAAAAATGAGACATTTGACTTAATAGAATAGTTATTTTTAAAAATATACTTAATGGATAGATCAAAAATCACTAAAAACATTTAAAAACAAACCAAAAAATGATTGATTGCTCACCTATATTAAAACTTGCTGGATCAACTAGGTCTAATTTACTCAATTCATCTCTCGCCCAGTCGTCCATTACTATAATACTAAACGTACAATTTATTAATAATTTTAATATGATAATTAATATTTAATTAAACATTCTCATTATTAACATATCAGATATAATATAATACAATATTTCATTGAATACTTTAATAAAAATAATTATTCATTGATTTCAAATGGAAATTATAAAACAACCTTACTCAGTGCTATTATAACAATGTAAAATAGTCATTATTCGGTAGTCCTATGATTTATCTTTATTAGCTTCCGTTTAAAATAACCATCGATGAATTCCGAGCGAAACAAAAGCAAAGGATAGTTTTTTCGCGGGATTACTCACACGTTGAAAAATACATTATTCCGTCACAACCGAATATTATATTAATAATATTCAATTTTAACACAGCTTAAACCTTATAATTCATAATACCAATTAAATTTAATAATTATCGTTTAGCGCTATTTTTCCGTTATAATGGTTTCATTGGTTTTACAACTGAATTATAGATTCATTATTAACCACTGTATGTGCATTAAGTGAACTATGTTGTGGGGATGCTTTAAACGAACGAGCCGGTAAATGCTGCCATGATTTCCGACCGAATTGATTCAGTTATTCTAACTAAACGTACTTGGTGGAATTGCCAACAAAGATGGTTGGTTTTACTATAATATGGTACTCCCAACTATGTAATTTTTAACCGTTTACCATAAAAAATGTATTTTTCCCGTGTAGAAATAAATTTTTTTTAAAACACGTGCACAGTATTCGATAGCTGACATCTTTCTCCCGTGAGCATTAAATGTAACAAACAGACATTTAAAAATTTCCGGACATCATATCAGTGTCCACTTGAACACAGCCAATGAACTTTGAGAACTATGCGTTTAAAATTCAAGCCATAGTTTTGTATAGACTACAGTCGCCGTTAACACAAGTTTAANCATCAGTGTCCACTTGAACACAAGCCAATGAACTTTGAGAACTATGCGTTTAAAATTCAAGCCATAGTTTTGTATAGACTACAGTCGCCGTTAACACAAGTTTAATTTACAGAATAGCACATAAATATTCGTCGAACATGAGATAATATCCTAAGTGATTGCCAATTGGCATTTTTATGTATAAAAAAAAAACACGAACGAGTAAATCGAATGAGTAATTTGCTGTTTTGTACGACTTTGTTTACCGATCATGTCTTACACAATANTCATAAATATTCGTCGAACATGAGATAATATCCTAAGTGATTGCCAATTGGCATTTTTATGTATAAAAAAAAAAACACGAACGAGTAAATCGAATGAGTAATTTGCTGTTTTGTACGACTTTGTTTACCGATCATGTCTTACACAATACTTTTTATGAAAAATAATTAATAGCAAATCGGCATGCGCAATACAAAACATTATGTGAAAATACTTGCACAGCTAAAATTTGAGTGAGACATTAAAAATGGATGAAATTCAGACACAAAAAAGAATATAAGAAGAAAAGTTTTATCTGAACTGATATTTTTACTTTACCTTTGAGCTAATGACTTTGTGGCGCGGTGCCTATCTAAATATTATTATTAAAAATAGTAACATAATTTAAACGTTTTACGCTTCATAGTTAAGCGGTCTAGTAAACAATAAAAAAACAATCGCTTTATCTATAAAAGCTTGATTTAAACGGTTTAAAATTAATTCAACGGTAACATTCTTTGCGCGTTGATAAGAAATAACATAAAATTAATTATTATTTTCTGACGTATGCAACAGGCATTGTGTAGATACGTTTTGCCGATAGGGCGAGTCATTAACGATGTGTTTGTAACGTTATATCTTAGCTCGCGTTGCATAATTTCAATAATAAAGACTCCGCAACTTTATTGGTTCACTTATCATGTCCTTTTGTGAACGCGATAAGCGCCACAGTGTTGTTATGACGACTACTAAAGTTGAGACTGTAAAATACTGAGAAATCGAATATTCCGGGAAACCTCTGTGGTAAATCATTTATATCTGCGGGTGTTAATTACTTATCAGAAGCCAACGCAATACCTTTTCCGAACAAACGTCAAAACACATAATGATGAATACCCACACAAAGTAAAGGTCTTCAACGCTTATGTAAACTATTGGTACAAGTTTCTGGGATTAGAAACTAGCCTGCGATCTAATGTTATCAGAAAGCGCATAAGAGGTTATCTAAATATAATATCACAACGCGGGGAAAGGGTCTATTTGTGTCTATTAAATAGACTCGGTTTCAAAATGCGGACTGTTCTCAGAAAGGGAACTTCCGTACACAATGAACGTCATTATTAATACGGTAGTTGAATTAAGTCTTATATTGAAAACGTGTCCTCAGTTGGAGTCCGGTCAAAAACGAAAACGGACCGCATTCGAAATGTATAACAACTTCGGACGTATTCATAAAAAGGTTTTTCCTTGTAAACTTTATATATTCACGGAATATGAAATTAACTTTGTCAAAACCGAGTATATTATTAATTATGATTTCAAGATATTTCTTCCCATATGCCCTTAGCGCCAGCCAATTTTTTATAACTCCCGTCGAGACACTTCCTAGGAGACATTTTGTAATAGCAGCTCATGACTGTTTCATAAAACTTTTAACAAACCACTCTGCCAAGACTCAAAATAGCGCAATGCTGGAACCGTCTGAATAATTTTCTCCGAACCGTTTGGGCATCTTCACCACTCAGGTTAACTATCATATTATATTAACCAAGTACTGTGTTTACGCAGCTAACCGTGTAAATTTATCGTTTGTTAACTATGACTGGCCAAAAGTAAACACACGAAGAGAGAAAATTTACAACAAACAACTCGAGGAAACCAATTACCATTAGTTTGATAATTTAACACTTTAAATTTATTTGTAATTTTTACAAACAATATTTTTCATTTTAGTGTAATAAATTAACAAAAATGTGTGACTTGGACGTTAATTGTCCAAATCAAGCAAGTTTAGCTTGTTATATAAATGCAATATACAGAGCTATGATAATGGTCTCTAATCCGGACTTTGACAGCATTACTGAATATATTATGGTAAAATGTAATTTTATAAATATTAATTTAAAAAAAATTAAACGAAAAGATTTCATAAAGCCATCATTGATTTAGTATTTTCTTGAAGAACCATAATTAGTCTTGTATACTTTTACTTATAAATATTATTTTCCTATTAACGCATACAGTTTGGGATATATACTAGATATTATTCCCTTCTTATCAGATTAGTTTAAATTATTCAGGTCAAGTTAATCATTTTAAAATTAAAAAACTTGGATTGTGTAGAGTTTTCCCCTAGGAGTTCTGCCTAAGACTTTTGAAAATATTTTTATCATACAAACTCTGTTAAAAACGCACGAAAAAATATGAAAGTGGGCTAAATTGAATTTCCTCAACCCTATTTTTTTTATATTAAAACACATAATTTTCTTAAGAATTTGGAGAAAAAGTTACGGAATATTTTGTGGCGCTAAGCCACCACCTCGCGCGTGATTATTTTTTTTAAGTTAAATATGCTCGACTGTAGGATATTCAACGGTGAATAAGTCTTATTTGTGTATTTAGAATATTAATTTTGCAATGCAGTTGGCTAACATGTTTTACTTTATATGCAGAAAAACTATTGCAACGCGGACAAGCCCACCATTATGTGTGTAATGAACGCGTTGCTAGAAAAGCAAGCGCTGAAAATCAGAACTGAAAGTTGTTACGAGCTGTGTGACAGCGTCACGACCAGAGACAGTTACTATCTTTACACAATTATAATTTTTGAAAAATAAATCCGTTAATCGACTAACGTTTGTATAGACGAGGAGCCAGCGCAGCGTGAGGATGACCTAGAAATCATCGTACAAGATACAGAATGCGAACAACAGGCTTCGACGTGTCGCGACAGGCAGCCAGTGACAGAAGAGACGTCAAGCCAATGCGATCCGAAACGTCAGAGGTCGTTCACGTGCGTTGTATGCAATCAAAAGTGTTCCTGTGCTTGCGAATTGAGTAAGCACCGACGTCAACAGGGCCACAACAACAAACGACGGCGCCATCAGTAAAATTTTTCCTCGGTAGATAGTAAACGATTGCTCTTTTTTTATGACGACATTGAAAGGATTTTTGAAGAAGTATTTCAATTGGCAATCAGTTTCAACAAATAAAAAATGTGTACTTAGAATTTGTGTTTTTTTTAATTTAATTGTTAAACATTCAAATCGAGGCGTGTTTAATAATAATAATTATCTCCTGTTATAGATCAATTATATGTACTACTAATCATTTGAAATTGTCTCTTAGTTTCGCTACTGCATTCGATTTATTTCAAATTATTAACGCATATTTTAATAACAATGTTAACCCTAAATTGTAATCAATATTACTGAGAAAGTAATATGAGCCTGTTAATAATAATTAATAATAAAGAACTTGATATTATTTATGTTGAATAATTAAAACACATTAGATAACATGACAACATAAAAGTAGGATAGTCAAATATTTTAAGGAGGCTAAATTTATAGCTATTTTAGATATTGTATTAAATATCATCACAACGCAGCTTTCATTAATATTGGACGAGTCTGATTTATGGACACATTCTAAAATTTTTGATGCATTTGTCATACTTGTTTCGTTGATACCTAATGAAAAATTGCAAACAATTTTTGATCCTTCTTAGGTTCAGCAAACTAACAAACATCGTATTACTTTTATTGGTTTACAGACACTTATAATGATAATAATATAATCATTGATAATACAATAATACAATATTATTAGAAATGTACAAATTTAAAAAAATCTGTTTCTCTGTATGTTATTACCAATAATATTAATCTTTTTTAAGCTTAAAGTAAATTAAGTTTTTTCTATTTTTTTACATAAATTTGAGCTTTAAAAAATGGCTTTTGAGACCATTTAACAGAAATTTCAGAAAATCCAGGCAAAACAGTTCTGCCACAGTTGTATAGGCAAGAATAAAATAGCTGCTATAGAAATATTATTCTCTTGGTTAACTTCATAAGACGTGGACGGAAAAAAATATTTTATTTACTATAAACTGCTCGTTTTCTTCAATGTTGATATTGCCAATACTAAATAATCGGAATGGTTAAAGCCATGAATTTTTAAAAATAAGAATACCAACAGTCAACTACTATATTTCCTAACTTCAAAATGACAACAAAAATTAATCTTAAGTCATTGAACATATCATCATTCAACAATGCTGCAATACATGAACAGTTCAACATATTAAAAAAAAAGTGTTTTTCCATTACATTATTTAATTAAAAGTTAAGGGCTTCTATTCAAGACAATTTAAGTTAATTTTTTTTACTCCTGAAGGGATAGAAAAAAATTAGATTACTATAGTTTTTTTGAACCAAATATTATAATTTCTAATAGTTTCTGAAAAAATAAGCATTAAATACTAAAAATAATTTTTTAATTGTTTAAAGAAATGTTTTACAAAGTTAATATTTAAATTTCATTTTCACTTCTCTAAGTTGTTCAATATTAGCGATAACATACTTAAATATGTAGAAAATATATTATAAAGTAATTAAAAATAATAATAAGATTAGAGGGAGAATCATTTCCTTTGTCTTGGTCATCTGAAATAGCTGGCAAGTTCATTTTAATTCCATCATTTAGAAGATAATCACATTATTTCAAACGTTTGTTTAGAACTAAAAATATAAGTAAAAATTATTATAAATTAATTTTTATATATTACAAATTGGTTTTATGTATAATTTAGGTTCTTATAAAAAAAATTGTATTTTGTACGATACTTAATACTAGTACGAGTAGGTCAGAACCGAAAGTGTTAAAATACAATATAATAAATACATGAATTAAATACGTATAACAGTGCTCATAGTTATTTTATTAACTGGATCCAATTGGATTATTTAAAAAATTGACTTACTAGAGTAAAATCTAAGAACAATAAAAAACATAGATCAAAAGTGTTCCCATAAATAAAGAATTATTCCGAAAATAAACATCGATGAGGAACTATAATATGTTGTTAAAAAAAACTATTCAATTTAGCATTGTGTCTTTAGTGTAATGTCACACAACCGTTATCACCATTCGCCTTGTTGCCATCAATCTTTGAATATTGCATCATGATTAAATTTCTAGAAGATTAATTTAGGAATGCAACTAATACCAAACAATGAAACATCACGCAGCTTAATTAAAGCTTTATTTTGTGAAATTAACAAAGTCAATCTAATAATTGAGTTTAAATTTCAAGATAACTTTACTATATATATATAAATATATATCAAACTATGGTTATATAACTATAGTAACTGTGGTTATCAACTAAATAATTAAAATCATCAATATAATTATTTATACCAGCATTACTTCATTACATCAACAAAATAATTTAGTCATTCATTTTACTTATTTTGTAAGTTAAAATTGTTTTATTTTTTCACAAGTGCTTTGTTGTCAATAATTTTGATTGACATCGTCAAACTGATATTTGTTGTTATGTAAATAGGAATCCCAAAACTACAGTATTGATTTCGTTTGACGAGCTGCAATAATAATCTATGAATTATTATTGAACGTTTTTAATTTATATCACATTTATACTTTATAATAAAACGAAAGCGACTTTACTCGATGCCTTGCCATATACCGTGTCAGCACAACATTGTCGATGGACGACTTCTCAGTCGTGATGAATAAAAAAAAAAAACAAACCACTTTCAACTCTCTATAATGTATACCGTCGTACCTATTTAGGTTTCTTCAACGCTGACATACACACGTATCTAAAATCTAGTCTAACGATTCCTAAACAAGTCGACGAGATTATCAACATAATGCATTGTATATTCATACAACTACTAAACTCGTTTTACTATTATTTTAACTCGATCGACTGCAACCTTCAAATTTTTACTATGAGCTTTCAATGGTTGGTTTCTACTTCTGTACGATTTGGCAAGCATTGTGCACGTCGAGCGGTAAAATGTAGTTTTGGCATAACTATTACACCGGATGAAAAACAATTTTATTCACACACACGGTTCAGCGAGTTTTGAGGATATTTACTCGTTAGAATTTTATAGCAGACAGACGGCAATTATATTTGAAATAACTTGCCTCATGTTAAATTAAGATTCGTACATCTTCATTGAATGGATATCAGCAATCGAAGAGGCCTATCTTTGCGTACACACTTCAACGACTCGAAACACATTTTATGAGACATATAGTGTTTACCACTACTTTCAAAATTGATTATCGAAGGAAAATAACTACCAATAAAAAAACTAACAACAGAATTTAATATTTCTTCATTTATTTTCTTACAAAACGTATATCACATTCAAAAGTTGAGAACACCAATAATATTTTCTTTTAAAATTATATTAAACTTTTAAACCTATAACAGGAAGCAAAAATACAAATATAAATATATATCAATATATATCATGGCTCATATTTTAAATAAAACAACTTTGGACAATATAATTTTAAAATACATTTTTTATTTACACAAATACAAGAAGACTGGGGAGAAATAATCAAATCTTTATAATTTTTTGACATTTAAACATAGAGTTACAATAAATACTTTAACTTATTCGCAGCCTTTTTTTTTATAAAAAAAAATAAATACACAAATAATAAAGGGTATACAGAAGGGGTTATTACTAAATTAAAAAATTGTAATAGTCTGGTCAATCCTCATATAATATAACTCGCTTTAGAAACAAACAAAAAAAAATTATAATAATAAAATAATATAAAATAAAATAAATAAAGTTGTTCAAATACATCATTATTATTATTATACATAACCCTAGGTATATCACAATAACTTTTTCATTTAAGTATAGGTTTAAGAATAGACATTTTTATTTTTCATTAAATAAAGATAAGACGGGAAATAATTAAGATAGAAAAAAAGAGAGACAAAGAGATCAATGCAAAATATCTACATTTACCATATTTACATAAATTCTTAAAATTCCCGTCAAACAAAATTCTTTGAAAAAAAAAAAGTTATTTTTTTAAATGGTTTTTTCCTTTACTTATTTATGAAAAAGCAATAAAACGACTAGTTGGGACAATTACTTTAGTTGATTTAAATTAAAATATACTATATTGTATCAACGTAATATATTAGTAATATCAGATAAACCAGACCATTTACAAAATTCAACACTGGTTACTGAAATTTTTTTTTTAATATTCTAAAATATTTTAAAAACATAAAAAAGATTATCATTAAAAAAATATTAATTATTGTATAGTAGTGAAATATTACTATGGCCATCACTTAAAATAAAAATGATACGTAATGTTAAAGGAACATGCTTCAGTAAAAATTAATAAATTTGTTCGAGAAATCAGTGGGTACAAAGAATTCAAGTTTTTTGAAAATATTTTTAAAACCAGTAATTTTTAATGATGATGATGAAAAACTGCTTATAAGGTTAAATTTATGTTAAAATAGTTAGATATTGATTTATGCACATATCGTTATGATGTTATTAAGACATAAATAACACTTAATTTACACACATATAATATGATAATGTTTACAATATACTTGAAAATAAACATTTGTGACGGCATACTTAAGGAAAAATGAAAGTGGGATTATAAAATAACTTAATTTTTACTTAAACTATTATAAAAAATAAATATAAATATATATTTTATGGTAATTTTAAATGTTTAATTACATAATTTTTTCTATTATTAAAATTTAATATATTTAAATATCATTACACCAAATATAAATAACAAAATAATTTCTGTACATATGTATACTTTAAATCTCATGACTTAAATTTTTAGGGATCAATAAAATATACTTAACTGTTAAGAATTTTAGATAATTATAGTTATGAAATAGTGTGTTAGCTAAAAAAAATTGAAAACATTACACTACCCAGTCTCCTGTTTATTCAACACAAATTAATTCAACAGTATTCTTAAGGACCACCCAGCACAAGGATCACATGTAATAATAAATATAACTGATTTTTTTTTCAAACTTTTAATTATGTGATTACAGAGAATTCTTATACTCAAAGCACAAATTTAAATATGCTATACTTAATTATAACTGTCTACAGACTTGGCGAGATCATAGATCACTGGTTGTGAAAAAGGGGGAGGGAATGTTATCAGTAAATTTGATTATACTGAGTGCCTCAATTTTTGACCTTAGTTTTTATATTTTATTTAAATAAAAACCTTAATTATATAGTTACTTTATCTAATAAATAATATAAATTTATTTGTTTATTCTATTTTTTTTTCATTTTTTTTTTTATTATTTACAAGATGCTATATCTTTTGAATTAGTGAATACGTTCTTTATATAATTAACTTGAAATGTAAGTGGGATAAGATTGGTAGGCTGAGTGTACAAATTGTACTGGAGATCCGTAAGTGGGGGGAACAAATGAAAGCATGTTTGATTGTTTAGCTGGAGGTGAATAATTAGAGTAACCACTGTCGCTAGATACAACAGAAGACTGATTGTATGTATCTGGGGATGTGGAGGCACGATTATATTGGGGTACATCAATTGGTGCCTCATATAAAACACAAATACTACCATCTTCCTCACCAATTCTATAAGAAACTTCAGAAGGATCAACCCACAAAGTCAACTCATCAGGTAAATAGGAACGTATTAAATTACAAGACAAACCACATGAAGCAGCAGCTTTAGCAATGATTGGGTCCATTTTGTCTTTGTTTATACGAATACATCGGTAAGCAGAACCTCGGTTTGGTGAATCTGGAAACCAGTATCCTTTATACTGATGGCTCATGACAGATATTAGTGACATTTGGAGCATCTCAATCTCAGGTTCAAGGAAAAATTTATCACCCTTGCTACGAACCAACTTTGCTCTGTGTCCAGCTCGTAACATTGAAATAATAAACTTGACAGCAGACTCTAGTTCTACCTTCATGGTTGTTATTCTGTACAAAAAAAAATTACAAAATATTAAGATCTATGTCACAAAAACTATTTGAAACATTTTAATGAATCTATGAGAATACTTAATATATATAATACATATAATAATATTAATACATATAATGCATGTGTTAAAATAATTTTTTATTTAACATATATTCATAGTTATAGTTATAGTATATATACTAAGTAAGAAAACTATCTAATGAATGCTATTAAATACTACAAAAAAACTAAAAATAATGTTAGTGTCAATAATAAATTAGTCAATAATAAATTTGTTTGTTATAAAATTTATACACTTATCAATTTAAAGATGCATAATTTCAGTTAATTAATTTTTAGTTAGAAGGTTAATTAGTTTAAAAAAAATGTTAAAACACTAAATGAGAAATATATGCATTTTGAAATAATTATCATAGATTGTGTATATATAAATTTATTAAGGTTGCAAAAATAAATTTAAAAAAAATGTAATAAACAAACAATGGTAATTTAAGAAAAATTATGTTTATTTTACTACAAAATTAGTTAAAATTTTTCTTTTTCTTTTTTGTATTAATACTTTTGAAGTATGAAACAGATATGTTATTAAAACACCATTAATTTAATATTAATAAACGATAACTTTTAGAATTGCAGAAATTAAATAATTATAATACATAGGTGTTCAGTAACTAAGGAAATGGGTATCTATTGTTCTCATTGTTTATAACAATTTACTTGGTTCCTTACTTACTGAACATCCTATATGTTTTATGTGTTAATACGTATGCTATATAAAAACTTAAATATGAAAAAGTGTTTCGTTTTAACATCTTTCCACCCAAAAAAATTCTATCAATGTATAGTGATATCTACATTGTAGCCAATTTTGCTCTTTTATTAGTTCATAAAATTCAATTCTACTTTTATAAGCAATATTGTTCCTTGTTTTTATTTCTAAACAATTGTCCAGTTTTTGTCATAATAGATCCTGTGAAAGGATCTGAACCTTTCATTTTCTTTAAGTTTTCTTAATTCCAATTCCTAAGTAATTTTAAAATGAACACCAAGTCAGTGCTCAATCAGATACTGTGAAAAAGTTCCAACTTCCTCACTGTTAGATTTTGTTAAGAATATCATTATATTTTACTGGATTAAGCCAGGAAAATACATAATTTTCATAAAAACAGAATGGTCAACTGTCTGCCTCACCATCCTGAAATGATGTAATTGCCATTTATATTAGTCTTCAGAGATTGGTCCAAAAATATTTTAATTCATTAAAAACCAGACAATTAGACATTTAATTAATCTATAGAATGGCAGGCTAGTATGTAACTCAAAATATAATTAAGTTTACAAAAAAAGTATTTAAAATACATCAATCCTATAATATCAGTCATACTAATTTAAGAACTAAGTGAAAAATCCTTAATATGATTTACTAGATGGAAAATTAATTATTTAGTATTTCAATCAGATTTCATGATTTAACATCAAGTTCTATCTTATTAACTAAAATCTTTATAATTATACCTATAAAATAAATCGGAGTAATCAATATCAATTTTTTTATGATAGTCAAAATAATTGAAGAGAAAACAAAGGAAAAACATAAATTGAAAATCATTTAACTAATTAATCTAGTTAAGACATTTTTATATGCTTTTGTTAATATGTATAATTTATTTCCATAATCACATTATTCAGGTTTCTATTTGCGTTTCAAAATGTAGAGTAAATTTTTATGTAGGATTGTTACACTAATAAAATATTTACTTTTCTGAATACTAATACTATAAATCTTTAGTCCCACAGATAAGAGAGACATGACATTTTTACCATTTTACTTTTGTAGAAAAATACATTTATATTACAATATATAAATATATTGAGGTAGAATAACTCTAAGACAAAATAAATAAAAAAATTCCTATTATAGATGTTCTAATAGTCTTTTAAAGTTCTTACCAAAAAAAAATTTATTAATTTAACTTTGAATTAAGTATTTATTTTTTAGTAATATTACCAACTTAATATAATTACAAAAATTATTAATTCATTTCTTAATGTCAATAGAACATAAATAAACATATAGTTCCACCTTTAAAAGAGGTACAATTAAATAAAATATATGTGGGTATCTTATAAAAATAAATAAGTTCTCACAAATAAATTAAAAATGTAGGTAGTATTTGAGTAATATTGATTAATTTGATAGTTTTGCTAAGATTCAGTACAACATCTCTATCACTTGGGCTTTTTTGTATAGTATAAATATTCCAAGTTTTATAAGAGAATAAAATTGTATCAGTTATGCAAAACTCTAGACAAGGGGTACCATTAGATTTCAATTGTTTTAGTATTTAATAAGTTCAACTAAAACAACTTTAATAAGATTAAACATAGGTAAAAATGTTATAAAGTATTTTTATTACTTATTTAGAAAGTTTAATTTTCAAGATAGTCCTTATCTTTTTATTTTACTCGTCGAAACGATCTATAAAAAGATGCCGAGAATTTGAACGATAAAAATAAAATATCATGGAAAATCGCAAGCAATATTAAATTACCATTGTAAATGGATAACGATTATCGAATAACGAAATGCGAGTCATCGAATGCGGGGGCGGAGGGTTGAGGGGTAATAAGGAAAAATTACCGATTCGAAAATAGGAACGATACGCACCCGCGACGCGACAATGGTCATGCCAAAGAGTTTGTTTGGGTTTTCAGGATAACCTAAAAATTATGGAGAAAACATAAAAACAAATTATTATATTGAAAAAAAAAACAGCGCATAATACACATAAGACATTGGACTTTCTCTTCGACATTGTCGTACGAATTTATTTGAAATAAATTATACAGTAAAGAAGGGGGTCGAATAAAGTAATGTCGACCGACACTTTCAAAATGTATAGCCTAATAGCTCATATGACATAATACAAAAACTATAAGAACAATATTTAGTTCAATTCTAGTTATGACAACTATTTAGTTAAAAGTTAACACTTACAGGTACGGACTCCGTTTTCACCGTGGTGACGTTCAGTGTTGAAATTTTGTTTTTTTTGTCGAGTCGGATGTGAAAACCGACGACTGTCTGCCGAGAAAAGTGTCACAAGTACGAGGGCAAAAGGTAGAAAAACTATTGCAGTTGAATTAGTCGTACGGTTAAACGCGAAGCGCTTAGTTATGGTATAAAATTGTCGTTTTCGGTTGATAAAAAAAAAAAAAAAAAAAGTAATAGTACACAAAGCCGAGACTAAACAAACGACTTTCCGGTTGAAAATCGCTAATGTGTTAAGATTTGGCGTATATGTGTCCAGACGGTACAGCGATTGAAAAAAAACTGGTAAGAAACACAATTTTTTTTTTTTATTGTGGCGTTTGCGAAAACCGTTTTTGTGTTGTGTTGTGTTGTGGTATGAGAGCACTAAAACGGACGACGTGTCTGACGGTCGACGATGAACTGCTGATCGGTGCCGGCAGCTTACACTACGACCGAGCGCGTCACCGGTGTACGTGATGCCAGTGATGGCGGTAGCGTTGGTGGTGGAAGTGGTGAATGGCGGCCGTGGACCATTGTTGTGTTGCCGTCGGTGGCGGTGGAAACCATCTGATTGCAGGCCGCCGGCAACCGTGTACAAACCTAATTCGAGGGCCCACTGCCCACAGCCGTAGTTGTTGCGATAGTTTGATGTACGTTGTCAATGCCTGTGAATTGAACGTTCAATCGTCGAAATATATATATTCTTCATACTCGTTTATCTATCAATTTCCAAACTATGTTCATTAATTGAAAACTTAACGCCTTTCTAACTTTAGGGCAAGCTATTGTATGTCAATGGCGTTACATCGTTAAACAAAAAGTTTATCTTGATTATGTACATAATACATACATGAATAAACGATACTACAAGAAACACCTGCGACGCATATTTATCGGTGAAATGTGAATAGGTACTTTTTTTGTGTCTGATGGTAGAAGAATACTGAAAAATAATTGATGTCGCTTGTAATTTTATTTCTTCCCATAAAAAAAAAAAATAGAAGTTATAGTATAGAAAAATGTAAAAATTATGAAACTTCGACTAAAAACAGTTAAATTAATAAAGATGTTTCAATTCGATTATTTTATTCATACGCTTAATATTGAAATTTACTATGATAAAAGTTATAACCACTAATTTATTTAAACAGAAATTTCAAGGTTTGTTCTAAAAATTTTATTTAGCAAATCTATGATGACTTCACCTCCCACCTTTTTTTTTTATTTCATCCATTATACATGATAATTTTGCTACAATAAGTTTACTAATTTATTATTATTATTTTTTAAAACTTTTAACGCATGATTTATTATAGATTAACAATTAATGAGAAGTGTTTACAAAAATAATTAATAATATACAATTCTTTTAACATGAATTATTTATTAAACAGACTAAATGTTTTAATTAGTAATAGCATTTAATCTGTTGAATAAAATAAAAATTATTTTTAAATTATTCAATTTAATATTTTTTAAAACTACTTTTGTAAGACGCTAAAGGCTTCCTACATCATATTTGTTTCTCTTCGCAATTTAGAAATATCATTAAGTTTGAAAAAAAGAATTTAGTTGTATAAAAAATTTAATTTTTAAAATTACCATTTTAAATGATGCGAAACCTACACAAAAAGGAATAAATTCAAGCAGAACTATTTGAGAGCAGGAAGCTTAGAAAATATATTCAATACCCTATTTAAAATAAATCGAGAATGTTATTATTAAATAAAATGCAAATAATATTTAACGCAAATATTACAATAAAATAATTTCATTAAAAATGTCCATTTTTTTTTTTTTTTATAGAGTATCCTTATGCTATATTTATTTGTGCAAAATGAAATAAAATTTTCGTTTAATTAAATTTTTATGACAACATCATCATTCAATTAAAAACGTAATATACTTTAAATACTTCGATAAAATTAATTTTACAACTAATGAAACGATTGAATAACAAACTTTTAAAAACCTTTAGGATAATGTTTTATGAAAGTTTTCCTCTGAATTCCTATAATTAATGTTTTATATTTCAATTGTGTATTTCATAACGAAGTAGGGTATTATTCTTTTACGATAAAAACTTAGTATTTGAGAAAAATATTTACTTTATGAATTACTTTTTTAAGAAACAATTTAACCAGAGTTTTTATGCTTGATTAAAATTTTAAAATGTAGATTTTTTTATCGAATATAACGAATATACTTTACCTACGTGATTTCGGCTGTTTATACAATAGAACAAAGTACACTATATTTGTATTATTTCTGTTATTTGTTTCAACTTCATTATTTCGTCGTCCATAAATCCAATTTATAATGAACAATTAAGATTTTTATTAAATACAGGGCTAAAATTATGAGGAAAGACCTTATATCTATAATTATATTAGTTTACCCTAAAAGATTTGGATTACAAATTAAAATTTCATTGCTAAATATTTTTTTTTCATTTTACAGTCCGAACATTTAATTTTCAAACGTATTCAATAAATACTTGATTCATAGTATTCAACATTAAATCTCAACAGTTATGGTATAGTTGAGTTAAAAATAGTATCAATTTTATCTTTCTAATACCTAAAATTGATGTTTGACTTTACTTAATAAGCACCGTTATCTTACTCGACATAAATAAATTACAACTGGCATCTGAATAGATAGTATTCACTTTTAAGGTAGTTATCATAATTAAAATAATGATTACTGTCGGGTGCGTAACGAAGGAGGCCAGGAGAGTGGCAGATATAAACGTTGTTGGATGCTCCTTCTATGAAAAATCACTGATCTGTCAGGACTTCTACGATTGTTATGTTTTGAACTACCCTAAGACTGGTTTATTACAGGGGCGTATCACGATTCAGATTTGTAATGTTTTAAATATAGTGAAGCTCAACACATTTTGATATGAATACTTGATTTCTGTAGTTTTTAAATAATTCATTGCTAACATATAAGCCTGTCACATAATTCTGTCGCACCACCTTCCAAAATGATGAAAATTACATTTAATATGTTTAAGGAGCGGATAAATCAAGTTAAATCCATCAAACATTTTGTTCGAGCAACACTAATGAAGCCATATAACATTGTTGATTATTTATTCAATTACTTATCGCCCCATTGTATTATAAATGTTTTCAGAAGCTTTACTATTTGAACAACAATATAAATTTAGCTAGAAAAATAATTAATTCGGCTTCCATGTAAAGTTTCCACAGTGTTGAGATTGTTTCCTCTTCCTCGCGTAAACACTAGTGATATATCATTTTGGCAACCCACGACAACAGCGAAAACGCCTTTACGTCTTCGTATGATGATCTCTAGTTTTTTTTATAAACTATTGTTATCTCACAAAATGTGTTGTAAACAATATTATAGTTATAAAAATGATGTGGCCAACGTCGTTCTTTGGGCTGGGCACCTTAACCAGCAGCAGCAGCCGAAATATTTACGACGTAATAAAATCGAGTTCCAGCACACTGACAACAGCTGTTCGAAATTATACAACGCCGCAGTCTGTGTACTGTTCGTGTGCACTCCGTTCCTACCTTTATTCACCACACAAAAAACAACTCGACAACATCACCCTCGTTGCCTTTCTCCTCTCGGCCGACCGGCTGATCGGTAGGTAAGTAGGTAGGCTAGCTGGCAACGACGATCTGCGAATACCTAAATCTACTGATATATGGTGATGTTCTTCTGGGTCATTGTGTTACTGCTCGACGCTCGATCACACAAAACAGTAGCTATTCGCCACTAGGCTTTCGGTCACCTCTGAGTTAATCGCGGGCTTGCTGGTCTAATACGTACCGTGTCGCCGACATCACCCGAATTTGACTTACCGCCGGCGTCAATAAGGCTCCTGCATAGGACGATCGCAGTCGGCCAAACGTTTGTTATTGCCGAGAAATCCTCGTCATCGTTTGCCGTTTTGATTTTCGGCTTCTGTCCCAGCGAATTTCAGCGAGAAAAATAGTGATATCAAGCCGATACGGCTATTATAATCGCAACTCGTCGGACAACAGCCGCATCTCGTTCCTACGTTTAAGAACATCGTGATAGTGTAGTGTAATTATCGACTTCAAGGTCGCTTTGTTCACTGCCGCCATCGTACGGACCGTATTAATAGTACGCGTCATATGTTTACAATATACGAAACACACGCGGACATGTACGCGGCGTTTTCCGCACGGAAATCCAACACATTTTGGTCACCCCCGCGCCGACACGGTTCTCTTTGTTGGTCCGAATGTGAACGTGCGGTGTGCCCGTTCACCGGCCTGAAACATCCCTCGGGGGATCACCTGTCGTCAGGTTTTTGTTTAAAATTACGCACCAAGAAAACGCACACTCGAACATACCTCGTGTGCGGTACGCGTTGAGCCCGTTTACCGAAAAATATTAACGGACTCGATTAGTTTGTTTGTCAAAGGGGCTCGATTGAGTTGGCAGTGTTCTCAACATTTCGGTTTCGACAGTGAACTATTTGTGGAGTAACTTTGTGTTACATAAATTTAACCGTTATGGAACACATGTCCTATAAATATTCAACAATTTAGGGTACGGCGGTGACACCTACAAAATAGAAAGTTCAAAAATGACACTACAACGGATATGTCAACAAAATTCAAACTAAATCTTTGGGATTGCATACGAGTTTAAACTGCTCGTTCAAAGTATTTTGATAGTTCCACATCATTTGAAGTTTATTATTTTATCAACGAAAGAGTGATGGTTGCTGTGTGCCTTATGACCTTCGTGCAGTCAAAACAATAAAGTTAGGCTTTATTCATAGGCACCTGTTTACGTTTTTAAATTAGTCCACGTTGAAACTATAGTAATAATTATGAATAATTCATGTGTATTGCCAAATAACTAAATCAACAGCTACAATTTACATAATCAATATAGGCCCATATGACGCAAATAGTACTGTACCAACAATAGTACCTATGATAAATAACTGTGTTTTTTTTTATATTGAATCGGGTGCTCTCGTGAAGTTGCAGTCCGAATTGTTTCCGACAACACTTATTTTATTTTCTATTAACTAACTACAACGCAATTTTCATTTGCAAGAAAATGAAAAACACATTATCTTATCTGAAAAAAAATACACAGTTCCGCATTAAAACCAGATATTTTGTAGTGAGATTATTCAACAGTCTAGTTTGAATTTATTTTTCATGGCATTAATCCATATTTATATTGATAACATAATTGGATTAATTTAAAAACATAATTAGTAAACACTTTATCAAAAATAACAAAATTATAAATAAAAATTATACATTTATTTTTAAAGAAAATATATACATCCAACCCTATAACGACTTTTTAGATTATTTTAGTTAAAAATATTTTTAGTTTTGTCCCATTCGATGATAATTCATCAGTAATATGTTTTTTTGTTTTAGCTATTTCATATTGTAATGAACAACAAGTTAATAAATTA